GGGGCGGGGTGATGGAAAGCGAGAAGAATGGGGCGGGGTGATGGAAGGAGGGAGAATGGGGAGGGGTGATGGAAAGCGGGGGAATGGGGCGGGATGATGGGAAGCGGAAGAATGGGGCGGGGTGATGGAAAGCGGGAGAAAGGGGCGGGGTGATGGAAAGCGGGAGAATGGGGTGGGGAGATGGAAAGCGGGAGAAAGGGAGGGGTGATGGAAAGCGGGAGAATGGGGCGGGCTGATGAAGAGCGGGAGAATGGGGTGGGGTGATAGAAGGAGGGAGAATGGTGCGGGGTGATGGAAGGAGAGAGAAGGGGGCGGGGTGATGGAAAGTGGGAGAATGTGGCGGGGTGATGGAAAGCGGGAGAATGGGATGGGGTTATGGGAAGCGGGAGAAAGGGGCGGGGTGATGGAAAGCGGGAGAATGGGGCGGGGTGATGGAAGGAGGGAGAATGGGGCGGGGTGATGGAAGGAGGGAGAATGGGGCGGAGTGATGGAAAGCGGGAGAATGGGGCAGGTTGATGGAAGGAGGGAGAATGGGGCGGGATGATGGAAAGCGGGAGAATGGGGCGGGGTGATGGAAAGCGGGAGAATGGGGCGGGGTGATGGAAAGCGGGAGAATGGGGCGGGGTGATGGAAAGCGGGAGAATGGGGCGGGGTGACGGAAAGCGGGAGAATGGGGCGGGGTGATGGAAGGAGGGAGAATGGGGCGGGGTGATAGAAAGCGGGAAAATGTGGCGGGGTGATTCAAAGCGGGAGAATGGGGTGGGGTGATGGGAAGCGGGAGAATGGGGCGGGGTGATGGAAAGCGGGAGAATGGGGCGGGCTGATGGAAAGCGGGAGAATGGGGCGGGTGATGGAAGGAGGGAGAATGGGGCGGGGTGATGGAAGGAGGGAGAAGGGGGCGGGGTGATGGATAGCGGGAGAATGGGGCGGGGTGATGGAAAGCGGGAGAATGGGGCGGGGTGATGGAAAGCGGGAGAATGGGGCGGGGTGATGGAAAGCTTGAGAATGGGGCGGGGTGATGGAAAGCGGGAGAATGGGGCGGAGTGATAGAAAGCGGGAGAATGGGGCGGAGTGATAGAAAGCGGGAGAATGGAGAGGGGTGATAGAAAGAGGGAGAATTGGGGGGGGTGATGGAAAGCGGGAGAATGCAGCGGGGTGATGGAAAGCGGGAGAATGGGGCGGGGTGATGGAAAGCGGGAGAATGGGGCGGGGTGATGGAAAGAGGGAAAATGGGGCGTGGTGATGGAAAGCGGGAGAATTGGGCGGGGTGATGGAAAGCGGGAGAACGGAGCGGGGTGGTGGAAAGCGGGAAAATGGGGCGGGGTGATGGAAAGAGGGAGAATGAGGAGGGGTGATGGAAAGAGGGAGAATTGGGCGGGGTGATGGAAAGAGGGAGAATGGGGCGGGGTGATGGAAAGCGGGAGAATGGGGCGGGGTGATGGAAAGAGGGAGAATGGGGCGGGGTGGTGGAAAGAGGGAGAATGGGGCGGGGTGATGGAAAGCGGGAGAATGGGGTGGGGTGATGGAAAGAGGGACAATGGGGAGGGGTGATGGAAAGAGGGAGAACTGGGCGGGGTGATGGAAAGCGGGAGAATGGAGCAGGGTGATGTAACGAGGGAAAATGGGGCGGGGTGAAGGAATGCGGGAGAATGGGGCGGGGTGATGGAAAGAGGGAGAATGGGGCGGGGTGATGGAAAGCGGGAGAATGGGGCGGGGTGATGGAAAGCGGGAGATTGGGGCGGGATGATGGAAAGCGGGAGAATGGGGAGGGGTGATGGAAAGAGGGAGAATGGGACGGGGTGATGAAAAGCGGAAGAATGGGGCGGGGCGATGGAAAGAAAAAGGATGGGGTGGGGTGATGGAAAGAGGGAGAATGGGGCGGGGTGATGAAAAGAGGGAGAATGAGTTGTCCACGGGAGAATGGGAGAATGGGGCAGTTGGGAGTGATGGGTCATAAGCGGGAGCTGAGACTCCGAATCATACACCCCGTGGACAACTCATTCTCCCGTCATGACATGTCCCGTGGGGTGATATTTCATGAAAGAAGAAATGTCACCGCTTCGTCCACCTCCACAAGCATGGGGCGTCCCCCTTCTCCCCATTCTCCCGCATTCCATCACCCCGCCCTATTCTCCCGCTTTCCATCACCCCGCCTCATTCTCCCTCTTCCCATTACCCGCCCCATTCTCCCGCTTTCCATCATCCCGCCCCATTCTCCCGCTTTCCACCACCCCGCCCCATTCTCCCGATTTCCATCACCCCGCCCCTCTCCCGCTTTCCATCACTCCGCCCCATTCTCCCGGTTTTCATCACCCCGCTCCATTCTCCCGCTTTCCATCACCCCGCCCAATTATCCTTCTTTCCATCACCCCGCCCCATTCTCCCTCTTTCCATCACCCCGCCCCATTCTCCCGCTTTCCATCACCCGCCCCATTTTCCCGATTTCCATCACCCCGCCCAATTCTCCCGCTTTCCATCACCCCGCCCCATTCTCCCGCTTTCCATCACCCCGCCCCATTCTCCCGCTTTCCATCACCCCGCCCCATTCTCCCGCTTTCCATCACCCCGCCCCATTCTCCCGCTTTCCATCACCCAGCCCCATTCTCCCGCTTTCCATCACCCCTCCCCATTCTCCCGCTTTCCATCACCCCGCCCCATTCTCCCTCTTTCCATCACCCCGCCCCATTCTACCGCATTCCTTCACCCCGCCCCATTTTCCCTCGTTCCATCACCCCGCTCCATTCTCCCGCTTTCCATCACCCCGCCCAGTTCTCCCTCTTTCCATCACCCCTCCCCATTGTCCCTCTTTCCATCACCCAACCCCATTCTCCCGCTTTCCATCACCCCGCCCCATTCTCCCTCTTTCCACCACCCCGCCCCATTCTCCCTCTTTCCATCACCCCGCCCCATTCTCCCGCTTTCCATCACCCCGCCCCATTCTCCCTCTTTCCATCACCCCGCCCAATTCTCCCTCTTTCCATCACCCCTCCTCATTCTCCCTCTTTCCATCACCCCGCCCCATTTTCCCGCTTTCCACCACCCCGCTCCATTCTCCCGCTTTCCATCACCCCGCCCAATTCTCCCGCTTTCCATCACCACGCCCCATTTTCCCTCTTTCCATCCACCCGTCCCATTCTCCCGCTTTCCATCACCCCGCCCCATTCTCCCGCTTTCCATCACCCCGCTCCATTCTCCCGCTTTCCATCACCCCCCCAATTCTCCCTCTTTATATCACCCCTCTCCATTCTCCCTCTTTCCATCACCCTGCCCCATTCTCCCGCTTTCCATCACCCCGCCCCATTCTCCCTCTTTCCATCACCCCGCCCCATACTCCCTCTTTCCATCACCCCGCCCCATTTTCCCGCTTTCCATCACCCCGCCCCATTCTCCCGCTTTCCATCACCCCGCCCCATTCTCCCGCTTTCCATCACCCCGCTCCATTCTCCCGCTTTCCATCACCCCGCCCAATTTCCCCTCTTTCCATCACCCCTCCCCATTCTCCCTCTTTCCATCAACCCGCCCCATTCTCCCGCTTTCCATCACCCCGCCCCATTCTCCCTCTTTCCATCACCCCGCCCCATTCTCTCGCTTTCCATTACCCCGCCCCATTCACCCTCTTTCCATCACCCCGCCCCATTCTCCCGCTTTCCATCACCCGCCCCATTCTCCCTCAATCCATCACCCCGCCCCATTCTCCCGCCTTCCATCACCCCGCCCCATTCTCCCGCTTTCCATCACCCCGCCCCATTCTCCCGCTTTCCATCACCCCACCCCATTCTCTCAATTTGCATCACCCCGCCCCATTCTCCCGCCTTCCATCACCCCGCCCCATTCTCCCTCTTTCCATCACCTCGCCCCATTCTCCCGCTTTCCATCACCCCGCCCCATTCTCCCTCTTTCTATCACCCCGCCCCATTCTCCCGCTTTCCATCACCCCGCCCGCTTTCCATCACCCCGCTCCATTCTCCCGCTTTCCATCACCCCGCCCAATTCTCCCTCTTTCCATCACCCCTCCCCATTCTCCCTCTTTCCATCAAACCGCCCCATTCTCCCGCTTTCCATCACCCTGGCCCATTCTCCCTCTTTCCATCACCCCGCCCCATTCTCTCGCTTTCCATCACCCCGCCCCATTCTCCCTCTTTCCATCACCCCGCCCCATTCTCCCGCTTTCCATCACCCGCCCCATTCTCCCGCTTTCCATCACCCCGCCCCATTCTCCCTCTTTCCATCACCCCGCTCCATTCTCCCGCCTTCCATCACCCCGCCCCATTCTCCCGCTTTCCATCACCCCGCCCCATTCTCCCGCTTTCCATCACCCCACCCCATTCTCCCGATTTGCATCACCCCGCCCCATTCTCCCGCCTTCCATCACCCCGCCCCATTCTCCCTCTTTCCATCACCCCGCCCCATTCTCCCGCTTTCCATCACCCCGCCCATTCTCCCTCTTTCCATCACCCCGCCCCATTCTCCCGCTTTCCATCACACCACCTCATTCTCCCGCTTTCCATCACCTCGCCCTATTTTCTCTCTTTCCATCACCCCGCTCCATTCTCCAGCCTTCCATCACCCCGCCCCATTCTCCCGCTTTCCATCACCCCGCCCCATTCTCCCGCTTTCCATCACCCCACCCCATTCTCTCTCTTTCCATCACCTCGCCCCATTGTCCTGCTTTCCATCACCCCTCCCCATTCTCCCGCTGTCCATCACCCCGCCCCATTCTCCCGCTTTCCATCACCCCGCCCCATTCTCCCGCTTTCCATCACCCCGCCCCATTCTCTCTCTTTCCATCACCTCGCCCCATTGTCCTGCTTTCCATCACCCCTCCCCATTCTCCCGCTGTCCATCACCCCGCCCCATTCTCCCGCTTTCCATCACCCCGCCCCATTCTCCCGCTTTCCATCACCCTGCCGATTCTCCCTCTTTCCATCACCCCACCCCATTCTCCCTCTTTCCATCACTCCGCCCCATTCTCCCTCTATCCATCACCCCGCCCAATTCTCCCGCTTTCCACCACCCCGTCCTATTCTCCCACTTTCCATCACCCGCCCCATTCTCCCGCTTTCCATCACCCCGCCCCATTCTCCCGCTTTCCACCACCCCGCGCCATTCTCCCGCTTTCTATCACCCCGCCCCATTCTCCCTCTTTCCATCACCCCGCCCCATTCTCCCGCTTTCCATCACCCCGCCCCATTCTCCCTCTTTCCATCACCCCACCCCATTCTCCCGCTTTCCACCACCCCGCCCCATTCTCCTGCTTTCCACCACCCCGCCCCATTCTCCCGCTCTCCATCACCCCGCCCCATTCTCCCGCTTTCCATCACTTCGCCCAATTCTCTCGATTTCCATCACCCCGCCCCATTCTCCCGCTTTCTATCACCCGGCCCCATTCTCCCGCTTTCCATCACCCCGCCCCATTCTCCCGCTTTCCATCACCCCGCCCCATTCTCCCTCTTCCCATTACCCGCCCCATTCTCCCGCTTTCCATCATCTCGCCCCATTCTCCCGATTTCCACCACCCCGCCCCATTCTCCCGATTTCCATCACCCCGCCCCATTCTCCCGCTTTCCATCACTCCGCCCCATTCTCCCGGTTTCCATCACCCCACTCCATTCTCCCGCTTTCCATCACCCCGCCCAATTATTTCTCTTTCCATCACCCCTCCCCATTCTCCCAATTTCCATCACCCCGCCCCATTCTCCTGCTTTCCATCACACCGCCCCATTCTCCAACTTTTCATCACCCCGCCCCATTCTCCCGCTTTCCATCACCCTGCCCCATTCTCCATCTTTCCCCCCAGAATGGGGCAGGGTGATGGAAAGCGGGAGAATGGGGCGGGGTGATGAAAAGTTGGAGAATGGGGCGGTGTGATGGAAAGCAGGAGAATGGGGCGGGGTGATGGAAATTGGGAGAATGGGGCGTGGTGATGAAAGAGGGAGAATGGGGCGGGGTTATGGAAAGCGGGAGAATGGGGCGGGGTGATGGAAAGCGGGAGAATGGGGCGGGGTGATCGAAAGCGGGAGAATGGGGCGGGGTGATGGAAAGAGGGAGAATGGGGCGCGGTGATGGAAAGCGGGAGAATGGGGCGGGGTGATGGACAGCGGGAGAATGGGGAGGGGTGATGGAAAGCAGGAGAATGGGGCATGGTGATGGAAAGAGGGAGAATAGGGCGGGGTGATGGAAAGCGGGAGAATGGGGCGGGGTGATGGAAAGCGGGAGAATGGGGCGGGGTGATCGAAAGCAGGAGAATGGGGCGGGGTGATGGAAAGAGGGAGAATGGGGCGTTGTGATGGAAAGCGGGAGAATGGGGCGGGGTGATGGAAAGTGGGAGAATGGGGCGGGGTGATGGAAAGAGGGATAATGGGGCGGGGTGATGGAAAGATGGAGAATGGGGCGGGGTGATGGAAAGAGGGAGAATGGGGTGGGGTGATGGAAAGAGGGAGAATTGGGCGAGGTGATGGAAAGCGGGAGAATGGAGCAGGGTGATGGAAACCAGGAGAATGGTGCGGGGTGATGGAAAGCGGGAGAATGGTGCGGGGTGATAGAAAGCGGGAGAATGGAGCGGGGTGATGGAAAGAGGGAGAATGGGGCGGGGTGATGGAAAGCGGGAGAATGGGGCGGGGTGATGGAAGGCGGGAGAATTGGGTGGGGTGATGGAAGAGGGAGAATGGGGCGGGGTGATGGAAGACAGGAGAATGGGGTGGGGTGATGGAAGGCGGGAGAATTGGGCAGGGTGATGGAAAGATGGAGAATGGGGCGGGGTGATGGAAGGCGGGAGAGTGGGGCGGGGTGATGTAAAGATGGAGAATGGGGCGGGGTGATGGAAAGCGGAGAATGGGGCGGGGTGATGGAAAGAGGGAGAATGGGGCGGGGTGATGGAAAGCAGGAGAATGGGGCGGGGTGATGGAAAGCGGGAGAATGGGGCGGGGTGATGGAAAGCGGGAGAACGGGGCGGGGTGATGGAAAGAGGGAGAATGGGGCGGGGTGATGGAAAGCGGGAGAATGGGGCGGGGTTATGGAAAGAGGGAGAATGGGGCGGGGTGATAGAAAGCGGGAGAATGGGGCGGGGTGATGGAAAGAGGGAGAATGGGGCAGGCTGATGGTGAGAGGGAGAATGGGGCGGGGTGATGGAAAGCGGGAGAATGGGGCGGGGTGATGGAAAGAGGGAGAATGGGGCGGGGTGATAGAAATCGGGAGAATGGGGCGGGGTGATGGAAAGAGGGGAGGATGGGGTGGGGTGATGGAACGCAAAAGAATGGGGCGGGGTGATGGAAAGCGGGAGAATGGGACGGGGTGATGGAAAGCGGGAGAATTGGGTGGGGTGATGGATAGAGGGAGAATGGGGCAGGGTGATGGAAAGAGGGAGAATGGGGCGGGGTGATGGAAAGCGGGAAAATAGCGGGGGGTGATGGAAAGCGGGAGAATGGGGCGGAGTGATGGAAAGGGGGAGAATGGGGCGGGGTGATGGAAAGCGGGAGAATGGGGCGTGGTGATGGAAAGCGAGAGAATGGGGCGGGGTGATGGGAGAATGGGGCGGGGTGATGGAAAGCGGGAGCATGGGGCGGGGTGGTGGAAAGCGGGAGAATGGGGCGGGGTGATCGAAGGAGGGAGAATGGGGCGGGGTGATGGAAAGCGGGAGAATGGGGCGGGGTGATGGAAAGCGGGAGAATGGGGCGGGGTGATGAAAAGCGGGAGAATGGGGCGGGGTGATGGAAAGCGGGATAATGGGGCGGGGTGATGGAAAGCGGGAGAATGGGGCGGGGTGATGGAAGGAGGTAGAATGAGGCGGGGTGATGGAAGGAGGGAGAATGGGGCGGGGTGATGGAAAGTGGGAGAATGGGGCGGGGTGATGGAAAGCGGGAGAATGGGGCGGGGTGATGGAAAGCGGGAGAATGGGGTGGGGAGATGCAAAGCGGGAGAAAGGGGCGGGGTGATGGAAAGCGGGATAATGGGACGGGCTGATAGAAAGTGGGAGAATGGGGCGGGGTGATGGAAGGAGGGAGAATGGGGCGGGGTGATGGAAAGCGAGAGAATGGGGCGGGGTGATGGAAAGCAGGAGAATGGGGCGGGGTGATGGAAAGAGGGAAAATGGCGCGGGGTGATGGAAAGCGGGAGAATGGGGCAGGGTGATGGAAGGAGGGAGAATGGGGCGGGGTGATGGAAAGCGGGAGAATGGGGCGGGGTGATGGAAAGCGGGAGAATGGGGTGGAGTGATGGAAAGCGGGAGAATGGGACGGGGTTATAGAAAGCGAGAGAATGGGGGGGGGTGATGGAAAGAGGGTAAATAGCGGGGGGTGATGGAAAGCGGGAGAATGGGGCGGGGTGATGGAAAGAGGGTGAATGGGGCGGGGTGATGGAGAGCGTGAGAATGGGGCGAGGTGATAGAAAGCGGGAGAATGGGGCGGGGTGATGGAGAGCGGGAGAATGGGGCGGGGTGATGGAAAGCGGGTAAATGGGGCGGGGCGATGGAAAGCGTGAGAATGGGGCGAGGTGATGGAAAGCGGGAGAATGGGGCGGGGTGATGGAGAGCGGGAGAATGGGGCTGGGTGATGGAAGGAGGGAGAATGGGGAGGGGTGACGGAAAGGAGCGGAATGGGGCGGGATGATGGGAAGCGGGAGAATGGGGCGGGGTGATGGAAGGAGGGAGAATGGGGCGGGGTGATGGAAGGAGGGAGAAGGGGGCGGGGTGATGGAAACCGGGAGAATGGGGCGGGGTGATGGAAAGCGGGAGAGTGAGGCGAGGTGATGGAAAGCGGGAGAATGGGGCGGGGTGATGGAATGCGGAAGAATGGGGTGGGGTGATAGAAAGCGGGAGAATGGGGCAGGGTGATGGAAAGCGGGAGAATGGGGCGGGGTGATGGAATGCGGGAGAATGGGGCGGGGTGATGGAATGCGGGAGAATGGGGCGAGGTGATGGAAGGAGGGAGAATGGGGCGGGGTGATGGAAAGTGGAAGAATGTGGCGGGGTGATGGAAAGCGGTAGAATGGGGCGGGGTGATGGAAGGAGGGAGAATGGGGCGGGGTGATGGAAAGAGGGAGAATAGGGCGGGGTGATGAAAAGCGGGGGAATGGGGCTGGATGATGGAAAGCGGGAGAATGGGGCGGGGTGACGGAAAGAGGGAGAATGGGGCAGGGTGACGGAAATCCAGAGAATTGGGCGGGTTGATGGAAAGTGGGAGAATGGGTCGGGGTGATGGAAAGCGGGAGAATGGGGCGGGGTGATGGAAGGAGAGAGAATGGGGCGGAGTGATGGAAAGCGGGAGAATGGGGTGGGGTGATAGAAACTGGGAGAATGGGGCGGGGTGATAGAAAGCGGGAGAATGGGGAGGGGTGAAGGAAAGCGAGAGAATGGGGCGGGGTGATGGAAAGCGGGAGAATGGGGTGGGGTGATGGAAAGCGGGAGAATGGGGCGGGGTGATGGAAAGCGGGAGAATAGGGCGGGGTGATGGAAAGCGGGAGACTGGGGTGGGGTGATGGAAAGCGGGAGAATGGGGCGGGTGATGGAAAGCAGGAGAATGGGGCGGGGTGATGGAAAGCGGGAGAATGGGGCGGGGTGATGGAAAGCGGGAGAATGGGGCGAGGTGATGGAAAGCGGGAGAATGTGGTGGGGTGATGGAAGGAGGGAGAATGGGGCAGGGTGATGGAAAGCGGGAGAATGGGGCGAGATGATGGGAAGCAGGAAAATGGGGCGGGGTAATGAAAAGCGGGAGAATGGTGCGGGGTGATGGAAAGCGGGAGAATGGGCGTGTGATGGAAAGCGGAGAATGGGGCGGGGTGATGGAAAGCGGGAGAATGGGGCGAGGTGATGGAAAGCGGGAGAATAAGGCGGGGTGATGGAAAGCGGGAGAATGGGGTGGGGTGATGGAAATTGGGAGAATAGGGCGGGGTGATGGATGGAGGGAGAATGGGGCGGGGTCATGGAAGGAGGGAGAATGGGGCAGGGTGATGGAAAGCAGGAGAATGGGGAGGGGTGATGGAATGCGGGAGAATGGTGCGGGGTGATGGAGAGCAGGAGAATGGGGCGGGGTGATGGAAAGCGGGAGAATGGGGTGGGGTGATGGAAGGAGGGAGAATCGGGCAGGGTGATGGAAAGCGGGAGAATGGGGCAGGTTGATGGAAAGCGGGAGAATGGGGCAGGGTGATGGAAAGCCGGAGAAAGGGGCGAGGTAATGGAAAGTGGTAGAATGGGGCGGGGTGATGGAAAGCGGGAGAACGGGGCGAGGTGATGGAAGGAGGGAGAATGGGGATGGGTGATAGAAAGCGGGAGAATGGGGCGGGTTGATGGGAATCGGGAGAATGAGGCGGGGTGATGGAAAGCGGGAGAATGGGGAGGCTGATGGAAAGCTGGAGAATGGGGCGGGGTGATGGAAAGCGGGAATATGGGGTGGGGTGATGGAAAGCGGGAGAATGGGGTGGGGTGATGGAAAGCGGGAGAATGGGGCGGGGTGATGGAAAGCGGGAGAATGGGGCGGGTTATGGAAAGCTAGAGAATGGGGCGGGGTGATGGAAAGCGGTGGAATGGGGCGGGCTGATAGAAAGCGGGAAAATGGGGCGAGGTGATGGAAGGAGGGAGAATGGGGCGGGATGATTGAAGGAGGGAGAATGGGGCAGGGCGATGGAAGGAGGGAGAATGGGGCGGGCTGATGGAAAGTGGGAGAACGTGGGATGATGGAAAGCGGGAGAATGGGGCGGGGTGATGGAAGTAGGGAGAATGGGGCGGGGTGATGGAAAGCGGGAGAATGGGGCGAGGGTGATGGAAAGCGGGAGAATGGGGCGGGGTGATGGAAAGCGGGAGAATGGGGCGGGGTGATGGAAAGCGAGAGAATGGGGCGGGGTGATGGAAGGAGGGAGAATGGGGCGGGGTGATAGAA